AGGGTTGGTCATGGGTTGAGGCTGGAGGTGGGGAGGTTTTGAAGCTGGTGAAATCCATGCTTAGGCCATCGGGCTGTAGGCTCCTGAGGCGCAATATGAGGTGCTGCTCCTCCAGTTTGTGGGTGGCGTTGTTTTGACACTGGAGGCCCAGGATGGACATGTCGTCTAAGGAGTGGGAGGGGGATTTAAAATGTTTTGCGACTGGAAGGTGTTGTCGTTTGTTGCAAGCAGAGCGCAAGCGCTCTACAAAGCGGTCTCTGAGTCTCTGCTTGGTCTCCCCGATGTGGCCTCCTCTACATCGGGAACAGCGGATACAATAGACTACATTAGCGGATGTGCAGGTGAACCTCCTGTCTGATGTGAAACGTTTGTTTGGTGCCTTGATTGGGGGTGAGGGGGGGAGGTGTAGGGGCAGGTGTAGCACCTCCTTCGGTTGCAGGGAAAAGTGCCGGGGGTGGTGGGGCTGGAGGGGAGTGTGGAGCAGATGAGAGAGTCACGGAGAGAGGTCCCTATGGAAGGCAGATAAGGGTGGGGAGGAAGTATATCCTTCATAGGGGAGTCAGATTGCAGGTGGCAGAAGTGGCAGAGAATGGTACATTGAATCCAGAGATTATGGGGTGCTACATAAGGACCAAGGGGATTCTGTTTTTGTTTTTGTTTTTGTGCGGGGAGGGGGTGCAGGAAGCGCAAGAGATGCGCTAGAGAGCATTTTCGACCACTGAAGTGGGGTAGATGTGGTCCTTGAAATAAGAGGACATCTGGGATGTTCGGGAGTGGAACGCCCCATCTTGGGAGCAGATGCAGCGGCCTCATCCCATGACCAACCCTCCCTCTCATCCCCACCTCCTTGACCTGACACAACCTGTCCATCTTCTCTCCCACCTATCAGCAGGAAGTGCTGCACCTGCCCCTACACCTCCCCCCTCACCTCCCTTCTTTCACTGCTCATCTTGTGAGCCCTTGATCATAGTGAGGGCTCAGGAGCGGGTGGGGTGATGAGCCAGAGGCAAATAGAGTCAGCATATTTCTTTACATTAAAAAAAGGATTTTTCAATCCAATTTAAAAATGTAGCCATTAGCACTGAAATATTTCAACTGTGAGTCTAGTTCCACATTACCACAGCTTTTACATCAGTTACAGTGAGTGAGGAAAATTAACTTATCGTTGTTTCATTTTTAAATTTGCATTTTTCTGGTAATAACCGTAACTAGATGAGGATGTGCTGCACACGTTTTGAAAATAAGCCATTTTAAAATAAATTTTATACATGAGAAAATTACAACAGGTTGCCATTCAATTAATTTTTGCTGGAATAAGATTTATTGCACTGTCTTCCAGTCCTGGTTCAGAGGATTTTTGAATTTCCAAATTACTTTGGAAACATGAATTTGCTTTATCATAAATCCTACACCTCCAAGCACCCAGTCTGACAGTTGCAGCTGGTTGAGACTTGAACCCACACTTGGTTAATCTGGCCAAACCAGGCAGCTTGAAATTTGGGAATATTCTTTCAAAAATTTCAGTAAGAAAAATACTATAGTATTTTGAAGAGCTTAATTGCATGGAAACTTCATCCCATTAGCTTTACTCCCTACCAAAGACTCCTCAATTCCTTCACCCATCCACTAAACCATTGATGTGAAATGTCTCTGTTTGAAATGGAGAAACTTTCTCACGTTAGTAAAAACAGTGCATGCACACAGTTTAATGTTCTTTCCATGCTGAGAATGTAACATGCTTTGCTGTTGTGAAGATTAATACCTCTGCATTTAAAATTAAATGTGCTTTTTGTCTTACTCCTTTTTTATTATTATTTCTTCTTGATGTAGAATAGTCACATAGTTCACTTCTCTTTACAGCAGAGAAGGAGGCCCTTCAGCCCATCATATTGAACTTTATATCTGTTTTTGATAACTGACTGTGTCTTTCCAGACTGCTGCTAGGTCCACTTTGTTAAATGCCTAAGGTTTAGAAGATGGAGTTCATTTTGGAAAATACCTATCGATTTCGTCTTGTTTGCAGCCTTTTTTCTAAAGCTTAGACCAGGAATTGATCAAAGTAACCACTGACAGTAAGCATACTGTATGCTATGGTAAAGGAAAGTCCATGTACTGTGCACATTGAATCTATCGATGGAATTCAAATTTGCTTGTTTCAGGACTTGCAGTAACTAATCCTGGGCTTGAGGACATCCATCCTTACAAAATGAAGTATATGATTCTGTTTAATTCACAAATATCAATTCTTCCATTTATGGTGGAGATTGCTGGGGACGTCATTGTGTGTAACGCTATACAATCGTTCATTGTTTTCCCCCCCCCCCCCACTTTGTTTCTTGCTTGGATTTAGATTTCTATGCCCTCTGATATGCACGCTTATCTGATCCAGTTTAATATTTGACAGAATCATATGGGCTCCTAAAACAAAGCATTTGTGTTATCAAAATGAAATGCTTCATGAAATCTTATGAAAATTTGTGCATCTTTCTTAAATCTGTCAACATGCTTCAAATTGGATTTCATTTAGTTTAGCTGACTGACTAAGGGTTCTAGTTGCAAAAGCAAAAAAAAAAACCTGAGTAGACCAGAGTCTCGTCGTTAAGGCTGTTCCACAACAATGAAATTCTGCAACATGATGAGAACTGGGAATGTTCTTGATGTAGTTAATGTTCACTTGATTGTGATAGTGCTGAAGAAAGAGTTGCATGATGCAGAGAAGCCCAGTGTTGTGTGTCACAAATTAATAAATAGACACTTGTAAAGTTTAAAATGTTGCTGCCACATTTAACAAGTAAATGATTTCTCATAATTGCACCATGTTGCAAACAGTAATTAAATGTGCCTGAGTACTTTTAACACACTAAATATGATTTGTAATAGATCAAATGATCAGCAAGGTGCGAATGAAATTGGGATATTCTGGCTATTTATGGTTTTTCCACTAACTAGCTAATTTGTTTTTGTCGTGATTTTTTGCGCTGTAACCATTGTACTTTCAAATTCTGAAAGCTCGAACTGAAAATATTTCAGGATTGTTTACTGTAATGTAGAAGAGTTGACAGTTAAGATGAAAATTCTGAATTTTGCTTTTGTCTATGCCTGGTTACTTAAGAATTTTAAGTGAATGGATGCACTACTTTTTCTCTCAAACTCAGATTATTTCTGAAACATCTGACATGCCGGAAAGACTCGTGCATGTTTGTGAAGAAACATAATGTGGGCAATAGTCTCTGGCAAATGACTTTATTTAAAAGGGCAACCATATTATAGAATTGATTTTAATTGAGCCTGGTGCTGGTTATCGTTGTACTATTGTCAACCCAAATTCCAATTATCTGCAACTTTGGGATACAGGTTCACTCAGTCCTGACCTTTTTTTTTTTTAATTTTACAGCTTCAAACAGTCTGTCCACTGCGCAATTATTGATATCTTGATCTGTATTGGTCGTGGTACCTCACTTTGTATGGTTTTTCAAGTTCACAGTGGATAATTGAGAACTGATGACTCGGATCCACTGTGACCTGTTCTCTAGGCAATGCTGGGATCCAGGAAATGGTTGCATGCCCCCTGGAGTTGAGCCAAATTAAGACTTGTTTTTTTTTTCAATTTTAAAACCAGGTTATTTAGAACCCAATGATTCACCTGTCCTTCCAAGTCATATTTTGACTTTTTGTTGCCATGGAATTTCTTATTGATGAAGGTCAGGCAGGAGAACATGCCCTGGGAACTGAATGGGAGCATTTATAATCCTTATCTTGTTACAGGTGGTGGTACGTAGTTAGGAGCCAACCCAAGTCAAGGCAAAGGAGGAAACTATGAATTGCAAGCTTGTTCCTCCCAATAACCCTGCCTGTGAGTCATGCTGGCTAAGAGATGGCACCAAGCCACGCCAAATGATTGACTCAAATAATTAAACTTTGTAGAACTGAGCATTCTGATTATGGGTGCAGTTGTTCCTTTGTAGATTGATGCCTGGCTTGTGACTATCTTGTTTCTTTCTTTAAAGGATACTTGATGCCCACTTGGGTATGAGATACAGGGATTTACTGTAATCGAGTAACGAGTGCAAGAAGTTACTTTTCGTATCACACAACAATGAGTTGCCTGCGTACTCCCATTTGTTTGTGACATTCCATCACAGATGAATCATATTCTCAAAAAGAAAATGACTAGTTTTAGTATTCAGTAACACACACTGCCATTTAGCACTTTTTTTAAACCTATATGTACAAATGTAGGGTGTAGAGGTTTACACAAGCGATTATAAAACCTGAAAACTTGATATCTTTCTACCATTTAAGAACTTAAGAGTGTGGAAGGGCATTTGGTAATCATACTGATGCTCCTGCAGAAAGGAGCAACTCATTTTAGTCCCACACTCCTGCCTTTTCACCCACGTAATTAGATTCCTGCTTCTGAGGAAGGGACACCGGACCCAAAACATTAACTCTGTTTTTTCCTTAACAGATGCCAGACCTGCTGAGCTTTTCCAGCAACTTTGTTTTTGAGACTAATTTCCATGGGTTTAAAGTGATGTCCTTGATTTTGTATCCTGATGCCCTGAAGCTGAGGATTCTAGATGCCTTTATTAACCATTGTCTCCCAGTACCCTGTGACTTGCAATGATTTTTGAATATATCCCCCGAGGTCCCTCTGCTCCTACACACCTTTGGAAATGTGTTCTATATTTTGTGTTTTTTCCTCGTTCTTCTGAGTAAAATTTAAGCACCTTTCCATTATCTACTACCTCGCCTGGTATTCCTCTAGCCAGTGTCCTCCTGAAATTTATCACTATCCTCTCCAAGTTCTCACCAATGCTTTCAAGTTTTTGTTTTGAGATCCATGAATTTTGAAATTGCATCCCGTATTCTCAAGTGTGTCTGATTTGTTTAACATCTGATTTAACTTCATTTTGGCTTTGATTTGTCATGTCACTTGCCCTCCTGCTAAGCAGATGTTGTCTCCAAATGAATGCCAATAAAACTGCATTTCTCTGTAGGTGGAGCATACTATTTGATATCCAGAAGTTTGGGGCCTGAGTTCGGTGGTGCAATTGGCCTCATTTTTGCCTTTGCCAATGCAGTAGCTGTAGCCATGTATGTGGTTGGCTTTGCAGAGACTGTTCGAGATTTGCTTGTGGTAAGTTGAATCAGCGGAATCAGTGATGTACATTTCTCCAAAACATTTGAACGAAAGCACAAATTTAAATGTCAAGGTCCTCATTGCCTTAGTTAGAAGTGATTTTTGAATTGTTGGTTTTACTACAGTAATGAATACGGTGATCCAAACTGTTTAATTTCGCAAAGCTGATTCACTTTCTTTTTTTCATTTCTTGAGGAACATAATGCACTCATGATTGATGAAATGAACGATATCAGAATCATAGGAACCATTACTGTTGTGATCCTGTTTGGCATATCGGTCGCAGGAATGGAATGGGAAGCGAAGGTAGGATCCTGAAGCCTGCTTTTTGAAAAGAAATACTGAAAAGTGGATGCAGTACTCACTATCTCTCGCGCTCTCTCTCGCGCGCTCTCTCTCTCGCGCGCTCTCTCTCTCGCGCTCTCTCTCTCTCGCGCTCTCTCTCTCTCTCGCGCTCTCTCTCTCTCTCGCGCTCTCTCTCTCGCGCTCTCTCTCTCTCAAGGCTTCAGTGTCTGAGGTGTTAACATTTACTGTATCAATACCATAAAGTTCACCATAGTTTTGGTTCTGTATTTGTATTTTGAGGCAAGTCTAAGAAGCTACTTGAAAAGTTTTTGTTTAAATCTAGCAGAAAGAACCTAGACCCGCAGTGGTGAACCCAAGAATGTTTGAAAGCAGTGGGATGTGAGGCAAAGTTGGATCTTGGAGAAAAGACAATGGAGAGCTTGGAGTCAGGGGGAAGCATTGAACGTTAACGTAGGAAAATGGGAGCAGGAGTAGGCCATGCAACCCTTTTGAGCCTGCTCCACCATTCATTATAATCATGGCTGACCATCCAACATGATAGCTTCAACTCCTTCTTAAAACCATGAAATATTTTGGTCTCCCTGCTTTCTGTGGTAGTGAATTCCCCAAACTCATCTCTCTCTCTTTTTTTTTTCTTCTTTCTTTCTCAGTTTCCTTTTTTGCATGCACACTGTCTCTCCCTCCTGTTCTCCGATATTTCTGAACTCCAGTGAGCACAATCCCTCCTGACTCGAGCTGTCTGTCCATCCCAGGAATTGTCTGATTTTAAACCCTAGCTGCACTCCCTCTAGAGCAGGAACATGTTCAGATAAGGAAAACAAAACTGCACAAACAGCTCCCAGTTATAGCCTCATCGATTCCCAGTGTAACTGCAACAAGTCATCCCTGTTCTTGAAAATATATTCATAAATTAGATATTTATCAAGTGTATGGCTGCCTTTGTTGTCAGAATGTATTCTTGTTTCTAGCAAGTTATACATTGCAATTTTGTGCAATAGAATAATCCTATAATGGTTTGATTTGTAAGCTTGTCGGTAAACAGCAGAGTAGGATAAGTATCTGTGCCCCAGTACGATTGGCAGATTTCTAGTGAAGAAAATTGACCATTTCCCATAATATACCCAAGTACTGTAACCTGTACCTAGCAAGTGAAGCATGCTATTGACACAGGATCCTGCACAACGTTGTGAACTTCCCAGAATAACAATTGTAATTTAAATGGTCCTTTTTTTAAATTTTTTTTTTTCTTTTGCTGCAGGCTCAAATTGTGCTTTTGGGAATTCTGCTGATCGCCATAGTTAACTTTGTAGTGGGAACTTTCATTCCAGCTCATGACAAAAGAGCAAAAGGCTTTTTTAATTACCAAAGTAAGTGACAAAATAAAATTGCATTTTTATATGAGTGGTTCTGCCTCTATAGTTTGTAGCTCTGACAGTAGTGTGTAGAAATGCACTGTTGCAGCAATGTTTCTGGAACAGCTGGCAGAAAGGGTTTGAAAGCTGTTACTTCAAGTTTGCGTCAGTCAGATCCAAATGGTTTGGTTACTGTTAGAGCAAATCAGCTGAGTCTTTTGAAGTTTTAAAAAATGGTTTCTTCAAATGTAATATCTTTGCAACAGGTTTTTTCCAAACATTAATTTGCTGATGTTGAATTTTATGTTAATCTCTTCTAGTAATTCATCTCTCTCTAGTATTGGTAGCTTCCTTTCTGGGAATTGAATCGTTCAAATAATCCAATGAATTTGGTGTTTATTGGGTTTGCTGAGTTCTGAACACCTTTTCCCTTAAACTTTTGATCCTGCCTGTTTGTTTGATCGTTGTCACTTGGATTTTCTTTTCCTTTCTAGACTTGGTATTGTCAATTTGGAAATGTTCTTGGCTTTTTTGTTCATTCTCCCAACCCCCATTCATTGCATTGTGCAGCTAATACCTTGTTCCTGCATTTCCATTTCCTCATTTTGGCGGTGTCATATACGGCATTCTTTGAAGTTTAAACTGTGACAGGAAACTGTTCTTGTGACATCCTGGTTCTTTGTAACTAACTTAATAAAAGCTGGTGTGTTCTAGAAAAACTCTTTTTCCTGTTAAATCCTTGCTTGGGAGGGAAAGATGGGCTTGAACCATGAACTTTGAATATAGAGGGAATACAGAGTGCTCAATACGATTCAAGTGAGTGTGGACTTTTGTTTTATTTTGAAGTCATACATAAAATGTAGTGCAAAAAAAAACTCACCTTTCAGGAGAGAATGAGCAGTCCAAATCCAGAAAATCCTGTTTTGAATGAGGAAGTATTTACTTTTTATCTTCTGTCATTCTCCCCGTGGCAATAGACAGCAAAGAGAAAGATCAGCTGAGGATACTGCATGGTGTTCACAGCATAGTGATGGTGATCTTTCACTTGTCCATATATAAAAGTTTTTGTGATCACGTCCTTAATTTTATTTGGGTTCTGTCACACTTCGACCATTTCTACAGCATTCAGATTTTGTTTTTCCTTTAATCCAATTTGCAATTATTCACATGCTACCTGCTGTCCTGAGCTACTCAGCTGTTCTCTCTCGTCACCTGATCTGTAGACCTGCAGCTTTACATTTTATCAATGGGTTGCATTCAGAAATTGAAATTCTGACCACCTGTATGTACAGAACAGATTATATTGAATAGTTCTGAAGAAGTGTCACTGATTTATTTATTGTCATGTCAATGTATTTTTTTGTTTACGAGCAGTACAGGCTGATCATAGTAAGCAAAGGGTGAACAGATCAAAAAAACTTAGATAGAGGCGTACAGGTTACGCTGCACAGGGTGTGTGCTAGGCGAGACCAACAGTGGCAAGAACAGCGACCGTGATGGTCTGGGCTGTGCACACCCACTTCTGTAGTTTCTTACGGTCCTGGGCAGAGCAGTTGCCGTACCAGGCCGTTGTGCACCCGGGCACTATGCTTTCAATGGTACATCTGTAGATGTTGGTGAGGGACCTTATGGACATGCCAAATTTCCTGAGCTGCCTAAGGAAGAAGAGGCGTTGTTGTGCCTTCACTGTCACATCTACGTGGGAAGTCCAGGATAGAGCGTCGGTTATCATTCACTCCAAGGAACTTGATGCTCTTCAGTCTCTCGACCTCAGTTCAGTTAATGTAGATGGGAGCGTGTTCCCCTCCTTTCTTTCTGAAGTGAATGTTCAGTTCTTTAGTTCTGCTGACGTGGAGAGAGAGGTTGTTCTCATTGTTCTCATATCACTAAGCCCTCTATCTCCCTTCTGTATTTTGTCTCATCGTTGTTAGATATCTGTCCCACTATGGTGGTGTCGTCAGCGAACCTGTAGATGGCATTCATTCGGAATTTGGCACCACAGTCGTGGGTGTACAGGGAGTACAGTAGGCGACTGAGGAAGCATCCCTGGGGGGGCTCCAGTGTTGAGTGTTATTGTGGAGAGGGTGCAGTTACCGAACCTCGCTGACTGCGATCTGCGGGTCAGGAAGCTGAGGATCCAGTTGTAGAGGGCGGAGCCGAGACCAAGGTCACAGAGTTTTGAGATCCGTCTGGAGGGGATAATGGTGTTGAAGGTGGAGCTGTAGTCAATGAGCAGGAGTCTGATGTAGGTGTGTTTGTTGTCCAGATGATCCAGGGATGAGCGCAGGGCTAGGGATATGGCATCCTCTGTGGACCTGTTATGTTGGTAGGCTAATTGTAGGGGATTGAGGCAGGTAGGGAGACTGGAGTTGATGTGAGCCATAACCAGCCCCTCAAAGCACTTTGTGTTTATGGAGGTCAGAGTGATTGGGCGGTAGTCATTAAGGCACGCTGCATGTGTTTGTTTAGGTACGGGGAACATGGTGGTCTTCTTGAAGCAGGTGGGGACTTCAGCTTGTAGGAGGGAGAGGGTGAAGATGTCGATGAATACCTCCCCCTGTTGGCCCTCACTGGATCTGAGTGCTTGGCCAAGGACTCTGTCCGGGCCTCATGCCTTTCCTTGGGGTGGTCTCCCAGGAAAACCGACCTGACGTCTGAAGTGGTGACAGAGGGAACAGGTGTGTCTGGGGCTGTAGGGGCAGGTGTCACCGTGCTGCTGGCATTCTGCTCAAACCGAGCATAGAAAGCATTGAGCGTGTTAGGGAGGGACCTGGGAGTTGACTCTACTTTCACTCCAGTGATCTGAGTTTTTTTTTTTCAGTTTTTGTTTTTATTTGACTTCCAGCATGTGCAGTTCTTTGGGTTTTTTATATTGACTAAGAAGTGGATCAACACTTTTTGTCCATATTACTGTTTCTCACCCCCTTGTTCCAGCATGCTCCAAGTTTTTCTGGAGGAACACAGTCCTGGCAGCTTCAGAGGAGCAGGCAAGTTGGCGTTTCGGGTCAGGACCCTTTTTTCCCTGAAGAAGGGCCCTGACCCAAAACATCAACTTTCCTGCTCCTCTGAAGCTGTCTGGCGTGCAGTGTTCCTCCAGCTCCACACTGTTATCTCTGACTCTAGCATCTGCAGTTTTTACTATCTCCAAGTTTTTCTAGTTTGTTTTTTATTTTCTGGGGTTTCTCTGGAGGTAGCTGTAGCAGTGTATTATGCCTATCACACCATTCAGTGGCATCACCATCACTGAATCACCCAATATCAACATCCTGGCAGTTAGCATTGACCACAGACTGCACTGGACTAGCCACGTAAACGCCAGTTCCAAATAAGAAGAGGTCAGCGGCTAGGAATCCCGCAGCCAGTAACCCCTCTCCAAAACTCACTAAAGCCTATCTATCATCTACAAGGCACAAATCAGGATTGTGATGGAATACTGCACTTGTCCAGGTGATTAGATCTCCAAGAACACTCAAGAAGCTTGGTGCCATCCAGGAATGTTGAGGAGTGACTGTTAGATTCTCTCTTCTTGGAGATGGTCATTGCCTGGTACTTGTAGGCCATGAATGTTGCTTACCACTTGTCATCCAAAACCTGGATATTATTTTCTTTTGTGCTAGGTGTGACTCCAACCAGCAGAGTTTTGCATCAGCTGTGGTTTTGCTCCAGCTGTGGTTTTGCTCAGGCTCCTTGATGCTTCACTCGATCGTATTTTCCTTGATGTCAAAGGCAGTTACTCTAACCTCTCCTCATGTCAGTTCTCTCTCTCTCTCAAAAAAAAAAATTGTCCATGTTTGAACCAAGGTTGTCACAATGTCAAGAGCTGAGTGGCCCTGGCAGAACCCAAACTGGGTGTTGCTGAGCAGGTGCTGTTTGATGGCACTGTTGATGACACCTTCCATCACTTTACTGATGATCGAGAGTAGACTGATGGGGCAGTAATTGGGTGGGTTGGATTTGTCCTGCTTTTTGTGTACAGGACATACCTGGACAATTTTTGACATGGTTGGGTAGATTCCAGTGTTGTGACTGTACTCAAACAGCTTGGCTAGGTGTGCATCATATTTCTGGAGCACATGTCTTCAGTACAATTGCCAGAACGTTATCCGGTTTTATAGTGTTTGCACTATCCAGTTTCTCCCACAATATTGGCTGAGCTCTGACATCTATGATGCTGGAGGAGTTTGAGGCGGATCATCCACTGGCACTAGAAATTATTGCTGTTGCTTCTGCCTTGTCTTTTGCACTGATGTACTGGGCTTCCCCACAATGAAGAATGAGTGAGCTGTTTAATTGTCCACTAGATGTGGCAAGAATCCAGAACTTGAATCTGATTTTTTTTTTTGTGTGAGAGTTTGTTTAGCTCTGCCTATAACCTGCTGCTTATGCTGTTAGGCTCACAAGTAGCCCTGTTTGGTAGCTTCACCTGGTTGACACATTTTTATAGTTGTACCTGGAGATTCATTGAAGTGGGTTTCATCCCTTGGCTTGATGGTAATGGTAGAATGGGGGATATGCTAGGCATAACAAAAACAGAAGTTGCTGGAAAAGCTCAGCAGGTCTGGCAGCATGTGTGGAGAGAAATCAGAGTTAATGTTTTGGGTCAAGTGACCCTTCTTCAGAATGGATATGCCACGGTGAGCATTGTTCTCCAAGGCAACCTGCTGCTGATGGCTGGGAGCACCTCATGGACCCCTGTCTTGAGTTGCTGGAACTTTCATTGATCCCATTTTAGCACGGTGATAGTGCCATACCACATGAAGGGGAGGGTATTCTCAAATGAAGATAGGACTTTATCTGCACAAGGACAATAGCCCATTTTACCAATACCAGTATTTCACTGGATTGGCAAAATATTTTCAGGTGAAATATTTTATGAACATTTTGGGCCAGATTTTCGAGAAGGAGAAGGTTTCTTCTCTGTCTTTGCTATTTTTTTTCCAGCTGCTACTGGTATCCTCGCTGGGGCAAACATCTCTGGTGATCTTGCAATAAGTGTTTGCTTATGTACAAAAAAAGATGAATCTGGAAATATAATCATTCATGCTGGATATGAGAAGAACTGCAAGATGGACCCAAGCTCCCAGAACATCACGGCCATTTAATCATCAAAGAATAAAATTAAATAAGGCTGAAGCTTTATTTGTGCCAATTGAAACTAACATGATTCCTACCCTCCCTCGACCTCTTCATCTCCAACTGCCGTCGAGACATCAATCGCCTCAACCTCTCCACCCCTCTCACCCACTCCAACCTCTCCCCCGCAGAACGTGCAGCCCTCCGCTCCAATCCCAACCTCACCATAAAACCCGCGGACAAGGGAGGTGCAGTTGTAGTATGGCGCACTGACCTCTACATCGCCGAGGCCGGACGCCAACTCTCCGACACCACCTCCTACCGCCCCCTTGATCAAGACCCCACCCCTGAGCACCAAACCATCATCTCCCAAACCATCCACAACCTCATCACCTCAGGTGACCTCCCACCCACGGCCTCCAACCTCATCGTTCCCCAACCTCGCACTGCCCGCTTCTATCTCCTTCCCAAAATCCACAAACCTGAATGCCCTGGTCGACCCATTGTCTCCGCCTGCTCCTGCCCCACCGAACTGATCTCCAACTATCTCGACTCCATTTTCTCCCCCTTGGTCCAGGAACTCCCTACCTATGTCCGTGACACCACCCACGCCCTCCACCTCCTCCAGAACTTCCAATTCCCCGGTCCCCAACACCTCATCTTTACCATGGACGTCCAGTCCCTCTACACCTGCATTCCCCATGCAGATGGCCTTAAGGCCCTCCGCTTCTTCCTGTCCCGCAGGCCCGACCAGTCCCCCTCCACTGACACCCTCATCCGCTTAGCCGAACTCGTCCTCACACTCAACAACTTCTCTTTCAATTCCTCCCACTTCCTACAGACAAAGGGGGTAGCCATGGGTACCCGCATGGGCCCAAGCTACGCCTGCCTCTTTGTAGGTTACGTGGAACAATCCCTCTTCCGTACCTACACCGGCCCTAAACCCCACCTCTTCCTCCGTTACATTGATGACTGTATCGGCGCCGCCTCGTGCTCCCACGAGGAGCTCGAACAGTTCATACACTTCACTAACACCTTCCACCCCAACCTTAAGTTTACCTGGACCATCTCTAACACCTCTCTCCCCTTCCTGGACCTCTCTGTCTCCATATCGGGCAACCACCTAGAAACCGATATTCATTTCAAGCCCACCGACTCCCACAGCTACCTAGAATACTCCTCCTCCCACCCACCTTTCTGCAAAAATGCTATCCCCTATTCCCAATTCCTTCGCCTCCGCCGCATCTGCTCCCAGGATGAGGCATTCCACTCCCGTACATCTCAGTTGTCCTCGTTTTTCAAGGACCGTAACTTCCCCTCCTCGGTGGTCGAGAACGCCCTCAACCGTGTCTCCCACATCTCCCGCACCTCATCCCTCACACCCCGTCCACGCAATAAAAACCAAAAAAGAATCCCCCTCGTCCTCACGTACCACCCCACCAACCTCCGGATCCAACGCATCATCCTCCGACACTTCCGCCATCTGCAATCCGACCCCACCACCAAAGACATCTTTCCCTCCCCACCTTTATCTGCTTTCCGGAGGGACAACTCTCTCCGTGACTCCCTCGTCCGCTCCACACTCCCCTCCAGCTCCACCACACCCGGCACTTTTCCCTGCAACCGCAGGAAGTGCTACACCTGCCCCCATACCTCCTCCCTCACCCCCATCCCAGGCCCCAAGAAGACTTTCCACATCAAGCAGATGTTCACCTGCACATCTGCCAATGTGGTATACTGCATCCGCTGTACCCGGTGTGGCTTCCTCTACATCGGGGAAACCAAGCGGAGACTCGGGGACCGCTTTGCAGAACACCTACGCTCGGTTCGCAACAAACAACTGCACCTCCCAGTCGCGAACCATTTCAACTCCCCCTCCCATTCCTCAGACGACATGTCCATCCTGGGCCTCCTGCAGTGCCACAACGATGCCACCCGAAGGTTGCAGGAACAGCAACTCATATTCCGCTTGGGAACCCTGCAGCCCAATGGTATCAATGTGGATTTC